ATTTACTATAATCAGTAAAGGTAACCTATCAAACAGTAGTAGTGCAGAGTTTAGATCATATTCAACATAAGTCTGTTGACCATTAGGCTGCAGAAGATGGCGATGTGGAATGGCCAAGGCGAGTGGTAACGGGGATACAGCCCACGGGAGAATTGCACATCGGCAACTACTTCGGCGCGATCCGGCGCTGCGTGCGCCTGCAAGAGCAAGGCGATGACCTCATGATATTCATAGCAGACCTGCACTCACTTACCACGCGCCAGGTTACCATTTTGTCTCACATATGTCCAGTAGATAGTGCACTATACAGTAAGGGCTGATAGCTGGGATCAATACCTACCGAAACAACCCAAGAGAGAGAGACTAGCGATGTAAGATTAGCCATGCTGGATGAATACGAGCCTCTAGCATGGCTAAACACGCTCAGTGCCAAGGCAATTTTTGGAAAAGGGTGCTGGAATTGTGTTTTTTTTATTGCATTAACTCGTCGAGTACCGGTTTTGTAGACACAATTATAGAACAATAGATTGCGGTCACCAGTGACCGCTTGGTGTTTGACAGTTTAACTCGTTGAGTACCGGTTTTGTAGACACAATTATAGAACAATAGGTTGCGGTCACCGGTGACCGCTTGGTGTTTGACAGTTTAACTCGTCGAGTACCGGTTTTGTAGACACAATTATAGAACAATAGGTTGCGGTCACCGGTGACCGGTTGGTGTTTGACAGTTTAATCTGATTCTACTAGTTTCACTTACTACAAAAAAAAATCTTTTTTTTTTCTTCTAATTTACCCCCTTTCATGAGGTGTATGTGTGTTTTTTCTTTTTACCCATATTTTCTTAATTTTTTAAGATATTTACACCTCAATAACACAGGCATATTCTCCAGGGCCAACACTTTTGAACATCCTACTAAAATGTATGAAATGGTGTATACTGAGGGATACATCTGCCTCCAAAGAGTGTGTGTGCAGTATGGTGTATCATTAAGGATACACTGGCCTGTGACAAAACACCCTATGGTGTATCATTAAGGATACACCGGCGCTGAGCGTGTTAAAACTAGTCCAGTTCCTTATCGAACAGTTATGTAAGTGAGCCAAAAACTTTATAAGTAAATTGTTCTACGAATACTGATATTAGAAGTATCTTGTTCCTCATATAGAAAAGACCTACCGATGAATAGAGTAGAGCATTTATCTACATATAATCACATGTACACAACTTACTAAAAATAATTTTTCACTGATATGTATCAAGGTTGTGATTTTTCAATATTTATAAAAAAGTGGAACAATTTTAAACTGCACAATTTTGCTGAACATTCATATATAACGTAATTTAAGCAGGTATTGTTCCCAGCTATCACCCCTCGCAGTATGGTGCACAATTTAAACTGTCAAACACCAAGCGGTCACCGGTGACCGCAACCTATTGTTCTATAATTGTGTCTATAATGACGGTACTTGACGAGTTAATGAATACCCTGAATATACATTTATATCTAACCTATCAGAGTTAATAGCTGGAAATCTCTGGAATTGAGTACAGCTTGTGAGTATTCTTACTCTACTTTTGTCAAAACACTGTTTATATAATATGTAAACATTGTCTTAGGTTTTGGTAAAGTATTTGCAATGGTAAGAAAGCAATATGTCCTGGATATAAAACTAACTAGCTTAGAATAGCATTTCTCAAATATGTTCTGCCATGAGTGACCATGATGATATAATTTTTATGTAGCCTCTTATATCCCACTTTTAACCAGTGTAAAGTTGAGGGACTGATGCTTACTCAGATACATAACATTCATTTTAACATGAATTTCTTTCATGGGCAACTGTAAGGGTTCACCAAACTGTTTCCATTAGCTAAAATTATACATTTATCCATTGAAGTACTAAGTTACATAAAAAGGTGTAATTGGTACGTGAGGGGAGTCAGGACAGGGAAGCCTTTGTCCTGCAGTGGGATGATGCACACTGAAAATAGGTCAAATTGGGTTGTACTTACTACATACCCTTATTTTATGACTAAGCAGCAGGTTGTGATTTAGATATTATTTTTAATTTTAGCATAGGTAGTAGATCTCTTCTTAACCCGTCAAATCCACCCCCTAAATTTGGTCATACAAAAGTAGTCTCTAAACGTTACAAATAAGGTCTATAATGTAATGTAATATTAGTGGAAAGCGGTCACCGGTGACCGCTTGGTGATTTATGGGTTAATTAATAAAAAAGGCACAGTTTTAATTTAACACTTTGAGTACCGTCATTATAGACACAATTAAAGAACAATAGGTTGCAGTCACCGGTGTTCTCGCGGTGTTTAACAGTTTAAGCAGCCACAATTGAGGTTTTGTTTTTCAATATAATATAATGTTCCAAGGTTAAAATCGCCGCGTTTGTCCTAGCAGCCAGGGCTTTATATGGTCCTACCGTACCTACCGTATTCTTTATTTTACAATTCATTCTGTGAGACATTAATCTTTTATAAGTATCTACTACGGAGACAAAAATCGCACACAGTGAACAGTCTGGGTCTCTTGGAAAGATTTGTACTTTTTAAACTTGCTGGTTAAAAAGCTTTGGGGGTAAATCATCGAATGACTGCAACCGCCTGGGTGAGGCAAGAGGAAGTGTCAGACTATCAGACTGACTAAAAACCACCCCGTTCCTTCTCCTGCACGTCGAGTCTAGCACTCCTGTCGTCGGGTAACCCGTTAGGTTGGTTTTTTAAACCTTTTTATTTAGATAGGTCCAAAAACGGTCAAAAGTGCAAGAAAATAGTAGGGAGCTAAATGAATCCCACTGGAAAGGCAAGAGAATATGCCAAAAAATATAGAAGAAAAAAAAGATTGGATGTCAGGAAAAGAAGGATCTTTTTGCGTGTCTACAACTTCGGTATTAATTTTTTTTCTATAGGGTTTAGTTTTCCAGAAAACCCAATAAACCGATTTTTATCCTAATTTATTATTGCATATATTTCGGCCATATTGTTTTCCGGTTTTAGTGTTTCATTGGACTAGATGTTTTTGTTGCACTGGAGCAGGAGCCGGCGCGGCTGCAGGCGCGCGTGCTGGAGCTGGCGGCGTGCGTGCTGGCGGCGGGCGCGGACCCGGCGCGCTGCGTGCTGTTCGTGCAGTCGGCCGTGCCGCGCCACGCCGAGCTGTGCTGGCTGCTCACGTGCCTGGCCACGCACGCGCGCCTGGCGCACCTGCCGCAGTACAAGGAGAAGGCCGCCGCCATGAAGGAGGTGCCGCTGGGCCTGCTGCTGTACCCCGTGCTGCAGGCGGCCGACGTGCTGCTGTACGGCGGCACGCACGTGCCGGTGGGCGCGGACCAGGTGCAGCACCTGCAGGTGGCGGCCGCGCTGGCGCGGACCTTCGCGCACCGCTACGGCCGCGCCTTCCCCGCGCCGCGCGCGCTGCTCGCAGGTACCCGTCCCGCCTAGCGCCTCCACTCTAGCGCCTCTACGAGTTGAACAGTTCACGTCCGTTTGTGTCCAGATGACGGCAGCGACCGCTTGCGGAGTCTCAGAAACCCGAATAAGAAGATGTCGAAGTCCGACACGGATCCCAAGTCGCGCATTCTTCTGACCGACCCTGATGATATTATCGAGCTTAAAATAAGGAAAGCAGTGACTGACTTCACACCGCAGGTACGTAATCTTCATACGCGCTACGTACAGTCGGGATCACTTTTTTGGACAGTGCCTATTATACAAGGTGTAGTTTTGAAACCGTGACACTACTCGGGGGCAAGTCGGAGAAGCCAAATGTTCAATGTAAGAAAAGATATCTGGCCAATAGTTAAAAATACGGGTATAATCAATCGTTTAAGTTTGACAGTATTACAAAATAAGCGACAGCAATGGTAGTAAAATAAACAGATTCACCCGACATGTATAATACGTAACAAACAATGGTCAAAAAAGCGTAGTCAGTGGGCGGGACCACGCGAGACGTCGAAAAGACAAACAATAATCTCGTACATACATGCATGATTTTGAATTGATTATAACGTTTTTAATAATCCTTGAATTGAGAAGCAATCAATGAAGATTAATCCTGTGATCATTAAGAACAAAGATTATTATGAAATCATTAATATTAATCAAATATGTATACAGATTTATAGATTTTGGTATGCAACAAAATGCATTTGGGCCGCTGTACCCTCAAACTAAAGTTACTTTGAATAAAGAAACACTTTGGGTATATTTTTCATTTGGATAAACGTAAAATATTCGTATTCCCCTTGGGAGATGACAATACAACTAATTTCCTACTAAACTAACCCAGAGGTTGTCAATTTATTACTATTAATACTGGCAGAAATATCATTCGTTTTAAAATAGCAAGTAAATTCTAATTAAATCTTGTTTTGAGTCGCTTATTTGGCCGATAAAAATCGAATTAGTCCATACGCAAAACTTACAAAAGAGCGTAAAACTTTTAAAAAGGCCGGCAACGCACCTGTGACTCCTCTGGTGTTGCGGATGTCCATGGGCGGCGCTAACGTCTGCTAGATTGCCTCCGATTCCATAAAAAAAATACGCCAGTGTTCCCTAAATTGGTTCTAGACCCTGTTTAAAAAATACGTTATTTTCGTTCAGGTGTGAATTAAAGAACAACATATTACCATATTTTTAATAACAATTTAAAAATCATTAGGCATGGCTAAACCTAAGTAGATCGAGTAAAATATGATTGCCCGGGCGGCAGGTGACTTTCGAGCCGGAGACGAGGCCGGGCGTGTCCAATCTTGTATCCATCCACTGCTTGGCCGAGGACAAGCTGCCCGAAGAGGTGGTGCAGGAAGCCGAGGGTCTGTCTACCGCGCAGTACAAGCGCGTCGTGGCCGCCGCCCTGCAGCGCGAGCTGGCGCCCGTGCGCGCGCGGGCCGC